TTTTTTTTAAATGCTCCAATCTATTCGTGCGGAGCAGCAAGTGCTGGGAACTGGTCCCAACGTCCCTTATAATTGGAATACATTGATGATTGATGAAAATTTGGGATGATTCAGGAATACTTCAGGATGATTGAGATAATAAGCTAGAGATTGATGCTGACTACTCAGAATGCTTATCTACTCAGATCTCACATACCACCCTAACCCTAATTTCAGATATCCATACCAACCAGCCAGTCTCTATCGAGCCAATACTGTATACAAACCAAGCCTCTACCCGGTCTCACACCCCACTCTAGCTAGGTTACACGGCAGCGCCACCCAACCCAGCGCCGACCTCCGTCAGCTAGATTGTAGCCTTTGGCCAAGTATTGTGATTGCCTTCCACCCTCAGCAATCCACAGATCTCTATCCAGGCCTCAAGCTCTTATAAAGGTTACAGGGTGATGCCCCAGCGCCAGCCAGCGTCGTTCTGATTTCTACTCAACCTGGGCAAGAACACGATAAAAATTGGTCGAGCTTATATAATTCCTAAAAATAAGGATTTACATAAATTCCGTCCCATTAGACCGTTCTTTTTCGAACCCTCCCGAACCGCAAGTAGCCGTATTGCTCGTGCACTTAACCACCTGCTTTTTCTCCTGCCTCGGAATATGCATTTTAACCTTAAATCCACCAACATGCTGCTTCGAAGGATCACCGAGCTGAATAACTGGACTGAGTTGAAAAAGAAGGGAAGTCTCTTAAGTGCCTCCTCGACATAAAGGAAATGTTTAGTCGCTTACCTCACGACTCAACCTTGGAGGCACTGAATTGGATTCTATGATTTTACTCAGAGAAAGGAAGAAACAGAGTTGGAATTAGGAAAAGAGGGACAGGCGCGACATTCTCTCTCAAGAATGAATCTGACAGTTGGTTGTTTGTAAGTTTCAATGAAATTGTCAATATGGTAAGCTATAAACTCTCTAACACTTTCGTCACGGCGGCTGACAGGCTTATTAAACATGAAGTCGGTATCCCTATGGGCAAGAGTACAAGCCCACCTCTAGCTTGTGTACTTTTTGCCTATAACGAATACACCTTCATGACTAGCCTCGGATCAGATAAGAAATTGGTGAAGGGTATAAGACTGATGGATGACGTATCACTATTTATCTGGGATGATGAAAGAACAGACAAAGCAAGAACTATTCTCAGTCGGTTCTCTACRGCGTACGACAAAGCCTTGACGCTGGAACRAAYTGATGATGGTGAAGGAGATTGGGATKTTTTGGGAACAAAGATTCGAATAGAAAATGGTAAAAAAGTAACGACCCAKCTCGTCYAGCGTAATCTGAAGGAAATCTGGATAGAAGAAACACTTACTTTTAAGACCATTCAGGATTTTGAATCATATTCGGCTATTACACAGAAAAAGGCRGTAATTACATGTTGCTTACACAGGATATACCAGATGACATCGGACGTCCAACTAGCGGGACTCGRAATACTTACCCTGAAAAGACTGCTGAGACGRCRGAACTACCCTGGTAAGTACTTCGACGATTGCCTCAATAAGTTTATTCGRAAGAGGGMACMATCTTGGAAGGAATGGGGTAATAAATTATGTGGCTGGTAGGTACGGTAAGTAACAAACGATAAACTCGAAGCCTGTACTCTAAAAGGAAAAGACTGCACGCGAATTTCCTRGACTCAACACGTTTTCTAATGGGTATTTCCTGAGTACTACCGACRAAATTCAAARATTATCTGAAGATTAACTGAAATATTTCATACGCAACTCTGTACTCGACGGGCTTTGGTCTTGCTGATTTCATCTCTTGCARACCCGTCTGAGAAACTACCGAAGGACTTGGTTAAATCAGAATCGGATATGGGGCTTCGGATTTCTRCGGATGATATAAAATTCACGCCAAACCACAGATACGACAAAGAAAATACCTCAGACTTAGACTTAGGGCTCAGTGGATATCGACTCAAAAGATTTATGTAGAAGGCTTCGAAAGTGACGTGAAGTTCGACTYGACTACAAATACGACAAAGTAGAATCTCTCAGACATGGATTTGGGCTCAGAAGATATCRGGCTTCGATTTCGATTTCGATTTTTTTCGAATTTCTATCTTTTTCGAATTTCTTTTTCGATTCTTTTTTGAAGAAAAAGAAAGCTTTGAGSGGRAAKCACRCGTACCTGGAAGTTGGAYGCAAACTTGAACCTGCAAAGGGTGAGGCAGATATACAATGGAGTTAGTATATATTCGTAGAAGTAGGCTCAACCAAACATCTCGGAGTTACTCTTTCCCTCCTGACGAGGCTGGCGCTGGCTCCAGCCGAAACCGGTCGAGGGTAGCCAGTCTACCGTCTGTTTGGCGGTAGGCTACCATAGCCAAGGCTATGGAGGTACTTGTGTCTTCACTCTGATTTTTTGAAGTGTCTTATTCCGAGTTCTTCCGAGTTTTTCACATCTTTGGCATGTTGTATTGATCAATATGCTTGTGTATGCGCACTGCCGATCTCAGCACGCTGGGTTTGGCGCTTCGCCCTCCTTCCCAATCGGCAAAGGCAGCGGCAACCAGCTAGGAGGAGTACACCTGGTTCGGTGACCCTGTAGCTTAGCTTAGTTAGTCTGTTAGTTTGTTACTTCACGACCCAGTCGCTCGGTCGCTCGGTTACTTGAGACTCCAACTACTCGGATACTCGACTACTTATCGACTAAGTAGAACTAGGATGAACAGGAACGGAGGTAATGGTGGCTTCGGATTCGGAACCGGACCACCGGGACCTCCCAACGGGGGAGGAGGAGGAGGAAGTTGGAACGGAGGGCAAGGTAACCAAGGAGGATGGAACGGGGCAAATCAAGGGGGATGGAACAATAATGGTAGTGGAGGCTGGAATAACGGGAATGGAGGAAGTTCGGGCGGATGAAACAATGGAAACGGAGGAGGATGAGGATGGAACAATGCAAACGGAGGAGGAAACTGGAATGGAAATGGTTGGAACAACGGAGGGGGATGGAACAACAGAGGTGGAGGACAACGGAGGGGACCAAAGTGTTACAATTGTCGCCTTTTCGGCTATATCTCTTGTGAATGCAATGCGCCACGTCAGAACAACCAAGGACAGCAAGGGACTATGGCTCATACGCAGTATCAAGGACCTCAGGCGATGGAAGCAGCGAGCAGCTCCTGTGCCGAAGCTACGGTACTAGCAGTATTGAGTAAGGAGGTTAAAGATTCTCTAAAGTGCATGGCAGTTTACGTACAGAAACAGATGATGAAGGAAGAAGAGGAAAAAAAGCAGGCAAAGGAGGCAGAGGAGAGAAAAAAGAAAGATGAAGCAGAGAGATTGGCTAGGGAAGAAGTGAATAGACTGGCATTGGAGAAGAAGAAACAGAAGGATTTGAAGGAGGCAAAGAGAAATTGGGAGTTTGAAAAGTTGTTGGCGAAACAGAAAGAAATGTTGGAAGCAAAGTTTGAAAGGAAACTGGAGAACCGCCTTAAAGAGGTGATGATCACTGAGAGGGCCGTTAAAGCAAAGGCAAGACAACCTACCCCGCAACCTGCTATAACGAATACACCTTCCTGACTAGCCTCGGATCAGATAAGAAATTGGTGAAGGGTATAAGACTGATGGATGACGTATCACTATTTATC